TGAGACGAGGAGACCCCTCCCTTAATAGAGGTGGACGTTGACAGCCAGGACCGTGTAGAGACTAACCCTTTTGTCAAGGGTCCCTGGTCTCAGGTTATAACCCGTTTTTACAAAATTTATGGACACCCTTGTTTGACCCGTTGGCGGAGAGAGACAAAACTACAAACAAGTTCAATGTTGATAATTCTTTGTTTAATGTACCAATAAATCCCAGTTCTGGTTTTTCAAAGACTGGGCAGCCTGTGTTTGTATCTAATCAGCCTGAGGCCATACTAGAACCCTCACAGATGGGACTAGCTGCTGGATTCTGAATTCATTAGCTGTAAGAATGTGGGGGGGAAATGACTCAGATTGCTTGGTTAAAGCCCCCAAAAATGTGGCCAGATTCATGCAGTTTTCTGGGGGCCCACGCCTAGCGACCACTTCTCCTGCAATTATAATTAAGGAGTCATGATTGATGCCTCTTTACAGAAAGGAACTGCCCTCTCCCATTTAGATGAAGCAGTAACAGAACACTGATTAAAGAAAAACACTCTTACTCCCATAAGTTTTGACCAGCTGTAGGTGATCCTCAGATTTAATGTTTTCAGCTTACAGGAACTGAGAGGGGAGAGGTGCTGCAACTTCGGGCACTGAAATGTCATAAACCTGTTTTGTTCAGAGTTCTAACTGGAATATGGGGCTGAGACTGATTTGGCTGTTTCGCCAGGTGGCCTCTTCTGGTAACCAGATAAGGGAGTGCAGACTGTTTGTTTTCCTGGATTCCTCATCTGCTTGCAGTACTGTTGACCATGGGATCTCTTTGAGCTGCCTGGCTAGATTAGGCATTGAAGGCACTATATTGCAGATATTCTGTTCCTCTCTGTCAGATTATACCCAGAACGTAGAGCTGGAGATCACAGTTCTGACACCATGGGCTTTGAGTATGGAATTTCTGGATAAGGTTGCACACATCTCTAAAGGTCCTTCATACCATGGGGATGCTAATTGTGAGCTGTCCCTGGATTCCAGGGTAGCAGCAATGGAGAGAAGTGTTTTTGCACAACTTCACCTAGTGATTTCACCTGTGATTTTAACTTGGCAGCAGTCATCCCTGCCTTAGCTACATTGTGTCTGAACTACTGCAGGATGCTCTGTATGGCAGTATTCCAGTTCCAGCTGGAATACTGTGTAGCAATTAGGCTGCTAACCGTTACAAGTTATCTTGATCATGTATCCCTGAAACCAAGGATCCCTCTAAGGCAGGGGTCCCCAACCCCTGGTCTGTGGCCTGGGCTGGACCGGGCCATGGAGACAGATCTCCCACCCACCCCTGCATGCACTCCCCCCACAGTCCGTCCGTGCATGCACGTGAGCGGGTGCCTGCGTGAACAGCCTTTGCACATGCACACAAGTGCTGACAAGCACCCCCGCCTTTGTGCATGCGTGAGAGCAAGCACCCATGCGAGTACTCCTACCCTTTTGCGCATATGCACGAGTGTGTGTGCCCCCATGCAAACATGAGCGCGTCCCGTGCATGCATGCACATGAGCGTGGGGGGTGCCCTGCCTTCCCCAACCAATCCACTGTGTTAAAAATGTTGGGGACCGCTGCTCTAAGGTGCTTGGCTGCCCATGCGCAACTCCGGTTCCCTCCACGTAGTTTTCCTCCTCCTCCACGCAGCCCCTTTGGTTCTGCTTGTGACAGAACCCCATGCGCACTGGAGGGCAGAGTTGCGTGCACATGCAGGGGAGAAGTTGCACGTGAGAGAAGCAGAGCCCCACCCAGCAGGGTGGGAAATGAGAGGGCCAGTTGTCTGACAATGAAAGATCTGCACTGGTTGCTTTTGATTTCTAGGCATTGGTTTTAACTTTTGCAGTCCTAATGACAGAGATACCCCGTCTCATTATGAACCCATCCAGATGTTAAGATCTTCAGGAGAGGCTGTCTTTAAAATACATCATCTGCAGATATATGCTTGATGGGTGCTTAGGTGACTGCTTTGTGTTGCTCCCAGATCGCAACAAAAGAACATCATAACTGCAAATGGTGTGTGGCTGTGAACATCGTTCGTTCATTCATTCATTCATTCATTCATTCATTCATTCATTCATTCATTCATCTCAAGGGTATTATGCTTTTATTTCTATGAAATAATGTCTCAACCAGTATCATCGTTGTTGCACTTCTTTTTCTTTAATGAGTAATGTTTGCGTTACTGCTAAAATGCAATTGGGCTCAAGAGGTAAACTCCAAACCGAAATACCTATTGTAGGAATCCTCATATAATAGTTTAAGCCTTGATAATTTTCATAGGGTGACTATATTCCAATTATTATTTAGGAAACATATCTAGCTTTCCTAGTAGGAAAAATATATGAAAAAAGAGATGGCTGGTTGATTGATTTTATTAAGAATCCACCTTCAGATTTTAGCACCCTGGATGTTGGTAACACTGCAACAGAGGAACAACTGGGCATTAAAAGGAGCATCTCTTTATTGTAATACTTAGGGCTATCGAATATGGGTACATAAATCTAAATTTTCTGCATTGTAAAACTGTAGGACGTGTTTTCTGACATGCCACCCTAGGACCAACCACAGTTCTTCTGTTTATGCCCCAGCCAAGCCTACTTACTGTTCATGCACTAAATGCTTAAGTAACATTATGATTGAATCACTATCTGAAATGTGTAGTTCCTGCAAAAGAAGTGGTTTCAACTCTTTTTGAAATAGAGGAAACTTTTGGAATAGGGAGAGTTCGTATTTTACTGGTGTCTTTGAAATCCACACCCATCACTTCACCTGTCCCGTTCTCTACTATATTTTTAAAAAAGCATAGATAGAGAATGGAAGAGAGAGACCCTAGTGCATGGAGCACATCCTCATCTTTTGCTCATACTGGAAGCTTTTGTCATTACGAAACTTAGTTTTGAGTTCTTAAAATTAAGTGTGTAGAAGTGGTTCTGTAAATCTTTAAAATGGCTGTGAATCCACGATGAGAAAAATACGCAACTAGAGTTTAACCTTCAAGTGCTCTCAGCATGTAAGGACAACATGTTATGAACATAGTAACCTTTCCTAAGTGTGACGAACATGTCCTTACTAGATGTAATTTGATTGCTCCATTCCAAAGCAGATTATGTACTGCTTGAAAAAAAAAAGTATTAATAGGAATGATGAATAAGATAGTAGCAAGTGGATAAACAAGCATTTAGTAATAATCTTGTCACTGCAGTAATTTTTTTGATAAATGTTCTTTGATAAACAAGCTGAAAATAGAAAAAGATATAGGATGGACCTGTGGTTGTGAGATTCACAACCACATTCCTGCCTCCAACTCCATATGCCTTCCAAGAAGACTCTACTGGAGATTTGGTGATGAGAGTTCCTGTACAATGTCCCAGGCTTTTCTTAAGGGCCCCCTTTCATCAATGGTGGGAAAAGGAAGGAAGGAAAACCCCATTAAGCATGGAACTATGGATTCAGCCCATTATCAATAATTGTTACTACACTACTCCTTTTGAGGTTACTACCACTGTATTGAGGCGCCGGGGTGGGGGGGAGGGAAACACCAATAACCAGTATCTTGTTGCATCCTGTTTCCTGGATAACAATCACTATGTTGTCCTCAGTGCCTGATTACTGCTAATTAAAAAAATCCTTTTCTGATTTCAGGGTATACCTAATTTTATCTTGTTGCATACACCCCAAAATTGAAAAAATAATTCTGTAATTAGTGACAGTCGGCCACTGATTATGTCATTTGTGGAAAATACTGGCGTATAGATCCAAAGCAAGTTGGTGTCCCACTCTGTAGTATAAGATACACTGTCTTAACTCATCATTATCTATCCTGCTTAGCTGGCAGAGTGTAATCAAACTAAAACAAAATTCTGTGTATTATGTTTTCGGGAGTAAATGCATTGAATTTAAAATGATAAATTCACTTTAAGCTGCTGGACATAGAAAATTAAGAAGGCTCTGCCTCAAAAGATTATTGCATCATCTTGTCTTTCCATGGATCAACATGCAATTTCATACTCTGCAATGCTACATATTGAGTGACAGTGTGTCTAGCATTTCATTCTGGGACAGCCTGCATCCTGCTGGACCTAAAGAAAGGATTAGATGCCAATGGAACGTTTGCTTGTGGAGTGAGTGAAGCAGATTACCTAAGTACTTGGGACAAGGTGTTTTGAAAGATGAAATACAAATGCATCTAGGTTTAATATATTTTTAAAATTTCTTACCGTTGCTTGTCAGAATACTGTTAGATTAAATAGATCTAGTGTAGTGCAGCATGTAAAACCTACCTATGTGCAGTTACACCCATTAATTTTTAAAGCCTAGTTGGAAATAATATAAAGGTACATAGGGTTAATGCACTCTTAATGTGCATCTTTTAAGAGCAACTTAAAATGCCTAAGTTGAATGTTATTACTTAACTGGCAAAATATTAAAACATTGGACAAAATCTTGTTTGCATAAACATACATGGTACTTACCAGATGATGTCATCACCCAGTGATATTTAATTTAACATTTAACATTTGATTTACAGTAAATGTTACTAAATGATGTTAGGTTCCAAGGCTCCTCCCTTTTGCCTCAGGAAAGCCTCTGAGACCAGGGCAGAAGTCATACTCAGCCAGGAGTTCTGCTAGCACATTGAGCAAGTAGTTGCACAATCAGTTGTGTAGTCAGGGATACAATGTGGATTGCATGGGTGTAACTCCAAACTTCAGCAGGCATAACTCTATGCTATGCCAAATGCAATCGGATTTCAGGGTTTTTTAAAGTACATTAAGCAGAGTGAGGTGTTTTTTAATATACATAGAAATTTTTTTAAAAATCCCCTTGCTTTAATAAATATCAGCACATAAAAGTATCTTCATTTTAATGACATGGAATTTCTGTGTAAGATGGAGGTGCGTCATTTTAAATAATCTTATCAGTTGTCTTCTTGATGTCAGAATTTCTCAACGTTATGGTTTCTCCTTCTCCTTTTTGTTTTCAAGATCTTGAAGGATTTGATTCTGTAGTACCCGTTGCTGAGAAGCTTAGCCATCCAACAACTACCAGACCAAAAGCTACTGGCAGAAGACCTCCTTCACAGTCATTCACATCTGTAAGTACTAGGAATGTTGTATGCCCTTTATACACCTTCCTTATAAATTCAGCAGTTCAAACAAATACATGGGCTGTGACCTAATTTCTTCACATGTGCAGCATCCATGTGCCAAGGATTACCATAGGCTCCACATGTTTCTTTTTTCCTACTCACTGACAAACTTTACTTTGGATATGTTTGAACCAAGTCTCACAAGATTATCTGTTGTAATTAGCATGAAGAAAGCCATACAGAAATGTCTTTATCTGACTGTATCTCCAGGCTTACAGTGGTTACAAAGATATTGCTGTTACAGCCTTCAGTTTAAGGAGGCCTGTGAATTAATGACTTATGAAAGGTCCTACTGTCTTGCAAACTAAAGACCGACTTCATTTGATGAGGCAACACATCTCATGTTACCACTTCATTTCATACTTTCTGTTACTTTTCCTACCATGTGTCCAGTTGCACAGAATGTTTTCTGCCCACATGAACGCCACTCTTCTCTCTTTAAAAAAAATCAGCATCTTTTAAAGAAATAGATAAAAAATATTTCAAAAGGTTTGAAGAAATATTTCATAATACTTTATAAACTTTTAAAACAATATTATCTCCTAGGTCTTTCTCTCTCTTTGCTTACCAGATTAATGCTCAACTGAAAGGTTCTGACGGCAGCAGGTCCTAACCATATGTATACTTTTTTAGCTGTCTCACACACTCTTGAGTCAATTCATTGGGAAAAAGGTGAGATCTAAGTAAGGTCAATAAAAATAAATAAATGTTCTGCTTCAGAAATCAACTGCCTTCAAAAACCTCTCTGCTTTAAAAATCAGGAGGAAACCCTAGAACTGATCATCCGCTGGGTTTTGATTTGTTTAAATGGAACAAATAAAGCAGTAGATTGAGAACTTATAAGGTTTTCCCATTTGAAATATGTCACTTCTCCAAAGCATGACAAACAAACAAGCAAGCAAAAAACTGGAGGTAGTTTTAAAAAGTATGGAAAAACAGATTGTTTTTGTCCTATTTTGTCTCAGTTCATATTGGTTTTGTGTTATCTGGTTAGTGGGAAAAATACCATTCAAGTGCAACAAATGCTCCATGAATCGTAAACCTCCTTAAAGCTTTATGACATTATGTGTAATGGGAGTGCTATTTAGCATTTACCTTTCATCCAGAATAAGTTATCCCAAACTTTTCTATCCTGTCTTTGTTTCATTTTATCGAAATTGTATTCTCTTGTCCCTGTTTTTTTTTTTTAAATCCTTCAGATGCACTGAGCAATTTCTCTCCTATCTCCTGTTGGGTGTTTGCTGGCAGCTAGTAGACTTTGAGTGGGGAGTTAGGTTTGCCTCTTGTTTGCATACCATTTTTCAAAACCACTGTTAAAAGAACAATAAAAGTATCTTGTTTTCCCTTTAACATGCTATGAGCAATAAATGTAATGATCCCAGGCCACATGATACCAACATGTATGTGTTGGTTTCATGTACAAAGTTCATCACTCCTTTCTCTTTTTATAAACAAACTGAACCAATTAAAACTCAAGAGCCCTGTTTTTTTTTCTTAAGTGTACTTTTGCAGAAACATGTCTGAGGCAATACAATATAACTCCTAATAAGGAGTTTGCCACATCTGACTATTGGATGATGTTTGTTTCTTTATTCCTCAGTTCTGTATTTGGCCAAAACTCTAACACAAAGTTCAGTCATCCAGCTGAAAAATGAACTGAATTTTAAATGGCCCAGTACCTCAAATTCAGCTTATAGATGCTCCATATTGCATATCACTACCGTCAGGAATGTGGTGGCACTGCGGGTTAAACCACAGAAGCCTCTGTGCTGCAAGGTCAGAAGACCAGCAGTTGTAAGATCAAATCCACCGATGGAGTGAGCTCCCATCGCTTATCCCAATTCCTGCCAACCTAGCAGTTCGAAAGCATGCAAATGCGAGTAGATAAATAGGTACCACCACAGTGGGAAGGTAACAGTGTTCTGTGTCTAATCGTGCTGGCCATGTGACCATGGAAAAACGCTGGCTCTATGACTTGGAGACAGGGATGAGCACTGCGCCCTAGAGTCCGACATGACTGGACTAAATGTCAAGGGGAACCTTTACCTTACAGTCATTATTCAATGACGCATTGTCATAGAATAAAAGTTTTTGTGAAACAGGGGAGGCCTTCTGTACCTTTCCATTTTTTTGGACTCCTTGGCCACCTGCTATTCCATCTCTCTTTGTTGGCAAACCTAATAGTAGTCGTGGTTGGAGTGCAAATAGCCACACACACAAAACTTAGGTTTTGATATAAAACATTGGCCTCCACTTTATTGGTTATAGCTGCCAAAAGCCCTGGTGCTAGCATAGATGAAGGATTTCCACCAGCCACCCCACCTGGTGTCTGATGCTGCCCAAAGGGACATCTTCTTTGTTAACAACATGGACATGGAGAGAGCGCAACAGTCCCTAACCTAGTCATGCATATGATCTCTTCACCCCTACCCCTCTAAAAGAGGCCCACCTGGCAGGAAAACTGCCACCACAGGGCCCTCCCACTACAAACCAGATTGCACTTAAAAACAAACTCCCAGTCAATCTGCAAGAAGTAACTCCACCTCCAAACCAGAAGCACATAAAGACGAAACCACACTCACAACCTTTATTAACTACAAAAACCTGACTTAAAGGGAGGGTGAGTGGAAGAAGCTTTGAAGCTGAAATAAGCCCCATTGTGGCTAGCAGCACTGTTTATGTTCCCAGATAGGCGGGACTAGAAACCCTGTCCTTCCAGTCCACTTGGAGAACTGGTCCTGCCCACCAGCCAATCTCATTTGCCAGTTCAGTTCTGAAGCTGAGAAGCCTTACTAAGGGGCCATGGGAAAGAGAAACATGGCCGATAAAACATGGCCTCAGGTGAGTTCAGGCTTCTCAGCATGGGACTTCCATACACATACATTCCAGGGAGAGGGGAAAGGGGGTGAGGTAGCAGATGGAAAGCACAGGCAAAATTGAGAAGGGCAAGGACCTGCAAAGCTGAACGCCTCTACTGTGGATTCTTACCATATTCCTAGTTCAGAGGTGTCCGTGGATTATGACACATAGTAACGTATACCTTTTTCATTTAGGGGAAATAGTAGCACAGTGGTGTTGAAGTGTTATTGACTTATTATGGTGTGTTTATAAAAAGAAACTATTCTTGTGTCTCCACAGTCTTCCCTTTCGAGTCCTGACTTTTTTGATTCACCAAGTCCTGAAGATGAGAAGGAAGAACAAGTTTCCCTTCCACCCAAAGTACCTGAACCACAGAAGAAAGCAAAGACTGTTACAATATCACTAGTAAGTTATTTTCATCGTTGAGAGGAAACCCCTTACAAGAATCATGGAAGCTAGCATGTCTTATGTTAAGTGATAAAATTATCTTAAAGATTCACAAGAATTGGATACATTCTATCCTCTCACTCTTTTTGAACCAGGACACTAAATTATATATTGACAAAGAGATTAAGTTCTGCTATATTCACTCAAACTGGTTTGGTTTTAGTTAAAAAAAGGCAGATATCAGATCCAGTATTCAGGTTATTATATGTACTTCATTCTGAAGCCCAAAACAGAAATACATCTTTCTCAATTGCCTCCTTTGATGCCTCCAAGGTATTTAATAAGTTGGGATGGATATATCTATTTAGTGTTTGTGAAAAAATGGATATTGTCTCATCATTCTTGAAAATTATGCATATCTTGCATAGTAATCATAAGGCAGTCATGCAAACAAATGGTATGGGCCTTTTACCAATTCATAGGGAAACTAAGCATGGCCTTTCACTTTCCCCCAATCGTGTTTATATTTGTCATTGAACCTTTAGCTATAGGAATCAGGGAGGGATCTTAAAATAAAGGGAATCCAAATTAATGGCAAGCAGTGCCTTATCAGTCATTCTATCAATAATATAGGAATAAAAAAATTCTACTTTCTCAGAGCATAATAAACACATTGCGTGTATATTACCATATGCAATGGAGTTAGTATACCTTTTGTATCCTGAAGATGACTAGACATGTTTTCCTGTCAAAAACTTGGTATTTTATTGTTTTATTAAAGTTTTTACTTGGAAGCTAAACCTGTTAAATTGTTTGGGTCAATTCAGTCTGTTTGACTGGGACTGGTCAACTTTTAATATAGCAATGGTTTCAGCTAATCCAGAGGAAGAATATTTTGGAATTAACCAAGTTAATTTCAAGCAATTTCAGAACTTCAGTGGATAAATCAAAATCCGGTAGTGGTGCCTCGATTTACAACCGTCTTGACTTGCAACCAATTCAAGTTAAAACTAGCTCCAGTCGCAACATTTTGCTTTGACTTGCAACCGGCCCTTTGAGATACAACCAGAAAAAAAGATAGAGGAATTTAAACTGCTAACCGTTGGTCGGCGAAGAAACTGCTTCTTTGTAGCTCTTTTGCCCCAGTGGTTAGAGAGTGTGCATTCTGTGAGAGAGGCTTCAGACTGCCTGGTACTGCTGGAACAAGCTTGTTTGATTCGGAGGGGTGTTTATGTTTCTGTGCTTTGATGGTTCTTGCAATGTAGCATTTTTAGTCCCTTCTGGAATGGGTTTTGTTTGCATGTTTGTTTCAGACTCCAAACTTCCCCACCCCCATTGTCTTCTCTCTCTCTATCCTCTCTCTTTTTGTGCCTAAAAGCACAAACCTTTGTCTGAGAGGTCTGTATACCCCAGTGATGACCTTCTTTCTTTCCTCCTTTCCCCATTGTTCCCTCCCTCCTTTCCTGCCCTTTTTTTAACCTTTAAAAATGGCCAGAACAGATTAATCGTGTTTCATTGTATTCCTGTGGGAAATGGTGCTCTGAGTTACAACCAACTTGAGTTACAACCATCTTCCTGGAATGAATTAAGTTTGCAACTCAAGGCACCACTGTATTCTGAAGTCATGTTAATAGATTTTTTAAAGAATCTGTAACAGGGAATGAGTACATCAGTTAGTTCCTCAGCCAAATACCTTGGAATAATACTACATGAAAGCTTAACTGAAATAGTACTTTTGAATTTTAAGTCATTGTTGAATTCAGTGTCCCAAGATCTCTCTTCACGGGAGAGACTTTGACTATTGTGTCTGGGCAGAGTACAGGCTGTGACAATGATTCACTTGCCAGAATGTACTTATTTGTTCTAGTCATTCTGTCTACCTACCTCAGAACCCACTTATTGCATAAAAGCCTGCCTGAAAATGAAGCTCTTTGCCTGACAATGGAAGGACAAGAGGGACAGGGCCAACTTGACTTCTCAGGCACTTCATTCCGAAGCCCAGAGCGCCCCTAAAGGAAGCAAAAAGTAAACAACTTCTGAGAACCTTATACATAGGAAACCATGGAAATGGTTGGCATGAGTCAAAATCAACTTGATAGCATATAATTATTGTTACTTTTAATACCTAATGAATTGAGTCATACTAGTACTCACTCATACTAATAATGGATCCTCAAGGTTGTGCAGGAGAAGGTGTGACCAGAGAGGCTCATCGACCATCTTTGGTGGCTTTGTCCAATCATTTTCGTAATTAATTTTCGAAGAGCATGAGTTGATCACCCATCAGTCTATACATATGTCACCATATTTAGGTATTGTCTCCTTATTTTGAAGGGAGAATTTGAATTTGAATCAAATATTAATTTATTTGCTTTGTTTAACAGCTAGATAACTGATTGCAACCAAATGGAAAATAGATGATCATCTCTTGCTCTCTCAATGGCTGTTAGAGTTGTTTGTCATATGGCTCTTATAGAAAAGCAAACATTGCAGGTTCATTCACTGAGAACTGGCAATGTCAGAAATACATTTTTGGACACATAGTCTCCTCCTGTCTCTTATGTTTCTTTAAATCATTCTGTTTCCATGCCAATATCACATATAAACTTCTGGACCACTTGAATTTCATGCAACTTCTAATGTGCTTTTAAGATTAAAATAAATTTAGGGTTTTTTTAAAAAAAAGAATGAAGGAGGAGATCTGCTGAATTGTACTCTCACAGGTGGCCACCTATGGCAAGTTCATATCAGCTTGGTGTTAAGACCATTTTGGAAATAAGTGTATGACTAATCAGGTGAAACCAATTAGTCCATGGCCAACTGCATGGAGAGTCTCAATGGAAGTCCTGGGAAGAGAAAAGACACAGCCTGAGGGTTTTTAATCATTGTTGCCCAAATGTTTGTGCATAGTTTCACTGTCATTTTTTTAAAGGTATCGGATAACAAAGCTTCATTGCCTGCCAAGCCAGGAGGCCTAACAAGTGGAAGTAATCTCCCATCTTCACTGTCATCCTCATCTGTACTTCATCCAGTTCCAGCAGGAACAACAGGTCATAGGTCAAATTCCCCATCTTTATTCAGTACTGAAGGAAAACCAAAGACTGACCGCTCCAGCCAAGGTGAAGCAGCTTTGGAAGAGCTAAGAACGCAAGTTAAGGAGCTACGAACTATCATTGAAACCATGAAAGACCAACAGAAGTGAGCATCTCTCATTCTTGTAGTATTGTTGCAATCAGCTCTTGCTAGGCCTTTAAAAAGTAGTCAGTGCCAGGATTCTACTCAGCTCCTGTAGCATAGGCTCACACTACTTAAGTAAATGTTTTGATTGTGTAGGACACTTGTTCTTAACCTTGGGTTACTGCTTAAGTAAATATTTTGATTGTGTAGGAGAAGGGTGTGTTTTTTTCATGGAGATCACCATGTGCAATTGGCACATTCATACATTACTAATCTGGTGAGACCTTCTGTTCAATGGAAGCTCAATATAATTGAAAAGAAAAGACCATTCCACTTTTTTCCAGAAGTAAAGATTCTGTTAAGTGGTCTAACACAAATATCCATGTTTCAATAGAAAACAGATGTTGCAGGTAGGAAAAGGGGGGCTAAGAATAGCACAAAGGGGGGCTAAGAATAGCACAACTTTCCCCAGGCATCTGTAGCTAAACAGTTGTCTCCTATTATATTCATCTTGTTATTCACGACATATTATGGCCATATATAATGTTTAGCTTACTCATTTACAGTGGTACCTCGCAAGACGATGACCCCGCTAAATGACAAATCCGCATAACGATGTTTTGCAATCGCTATAGCGATTCGCAAAACAGTCATTCCAATGGGGGATTTTCGCTGGACATCAATTAGGTCCGTGCTTCGCGAACCGTTTGTTCGCAAGATGACAATTTTTTTCGGCTTCGCAAAATGGCTGCCCTGTGTTTTCCGGACCCATGCTTCGCAGGACAGCCATTTTTACAGCTGATCGGCCCTTGCAAAATGGCTTCCCTATGGGCGATCTTCACTGGACAAGGAGGTATTTTCCCCATTTTCCCCATTAAACTGTGTTTCAATGCATTCCAATGGGGAAAGGGTTTTCGCATGACGATGATTTCGCTAAACAGCAATTTCAGTGGGATGGATTATCGTCGTCATGTGGGGCAGCACTGTATTCTTGATACTGTGGTTTAAAGAAAACAAACTGGGCAGAACTTCTGTGGTGATTATGGATCATCTCAGGCTGCTTGCTTCATTTGCTGTTGCAGCCCATCATGTCAGGCACCCCCCCACACACAAAGATAAAGGAGTTCCAGAATATCTTTATAGTCTGTAGAGAGGGTTTGAGTAAAAGTCTAAGAACTGCAACTGGAACAAGAAATGTGGAGAATCCTTCAGATGTAGATTTTCAGATCCACTTGAATGAACCAATGGCACTCACTTTTTAAAGCTTCAGTGAGTCTGGTGGACAGTTTTCTACCCCAAGGGATCCTTCAGTGGCTACACAGGCTGCCAAAAAAAAACACGAAACCAGAAGCAGTCAGAGGCTGACTTTGAAATTTGTAAAATGAGCATCTTTTTAAGTTAGGTGGTGCAGGACAGGGCCTGGGGTCTACTTTAAAAGTCACAGGTGACTCACGGGGATGGAAGCATTAAAAGAAAATTTCGAGGGGCTGCACTTTTGTGAATATAGCAAAAGAAAAAATAGTTTTCCCTAGATATTTTGTTAATGTAGCCAAATTTATCACATAAATTTTTCCTAGATGACCTTGCAGAAAATTAATTATCTGGTCTCCCATGTTTTGTTGTGTTCACGGTAAATGAAACTGAGTGTTTGGGTGGGGGCAGCATCTCTGTAGGCTTTGATCATAATGCAAAGGCAAGAAGGAGGTTATCATTTTTCCTCGTGGTGTTTGCCAAGTTCCTGCCTGGATCGCCCCTTGGTAAACACGTCAGCAGCACCTAGATAATGTTTATATGATCCACACAGAAAACTCTGTGACAACTGCATGGACTTATTCAGAGAGGAAAAAATGTTGCGGAGATTGAAGGGTAAACTACTACTTGAACTTACAAAAATAGTGAATTTCCATTAGAAATAACACAATACCTATGATATGGAAATGCAGTAATTTCTGTTTTGTTTTCATTTGTATTGTTTTTCTAGAAAAGAGATCAAGCAATTGCTGTCTGAATTAGATGAAGAAAAAAAGATCCGGCTACGATTACAGGTACTGGGATCAAATACAACCTAACACGTAATAGCATAATAAGCTGCAGTTAGAATAGGGGCATTTGAATCAATGGAGCAGTTGAATCAGTAAATCCCCACTGATTCAGTGGGCCTACTCTAGTGCAATTTACTACACTAAACAACAGATTTTGGGCTCCTATATTGAGGGAGCAACAATGCCTCCAGTCATCACATCACTTTGTAATATATCAGTACCACGCTGTAGAAGCAACTTTAGAAAAAGTGAAGAGTTTTAGTGAAGGAGAAGATATTATGTTTAGCTCTTGGGCCTATATATTTGAATCTGCTTGTATCATATGGATTTTAAAAAATAGGTAAGTAGAAAGTCATGAAGCGAAAAATTTAGTAAAAGTAAAATTTGCTTGAAGTCTCCCTCCCCTTAGAATGACAATATTATGAGGTGATAAATGGCAAAATCCATTCTTAGTCCCACTGAGCCTATTGAAATAAATGAGACTTAACTTAATTGTGACAGGTAGCTCTCATTCATTTAAATGGCTGTACTGCAGGCTGTTTCTAATTTGAAGTTAGACCTGAATGCAAGAAGTGGAGCAGCAGATGGATTTACTGATGCAATTCTTAATGGTTAAAGATAAAAATTTTACTGGGATCGGCAAAGCAGACTTGTGGGTTCTCGTTTTCTGGCTAATGAATGGTCCTCCTTGTCATGGATGAACTTCCTGTGCAGTCAGAGCTACAGCCTCACCATGACCTTTGCACTCCTGGCTAGTGATGCCAAAGAGTACTGCCCTTATCCATTGGCTCACAGGGAAGATGCCATCATTTTGCGATGAAAGAATCTGCACCATACCTGATGTTCTAAATAGCAACAGGACCAGACTGCACCAGTAGTATTATGCTGGCACTATATTATTACTATTACTATTACTGTTACTGTTACTATTACTACTACTACTACTAGTGATAGTAATAGTAATAGTAATAGTAGTAAACTTAGAACTGCAGAGCTAGAAGGGATCCTCCAGATGATCAGGTCTAATACAACAGAAGTCCAATGAAAATTTATTTTCTGCCTCTATATCTTTTGAGAGTTTCATCTAGGCTTCCAAGTGCAGGAATGGAGGCAAAATTAGGCTCTATCAAATAACACACCAGGAAGTGATGGATACCCAACGGACAAGCTTTATTGGTAGACAGACGGTTACCATCCAGACATAAAAGCCACTGGGTTCAAGCAAGGGGAACAGGCATGATGGAGACATGGGCAACCTTCTTGTAATGGTTTGTATGGTGCTCCCGGTGAACTCTCTGGCTAGCAGTGGTGTTAGGTACGGGCGGATCTGGATCTTCCAGGACAGGTTAGCGGAAGCCAAAATAAAAGGTGCCTAGTGACTGGAATCCTATTGGTTAATTACATTCATGTAAGTGCAATAAAGTAAATTGCAAAAGCAATTCACTAATTAACACATTGCTGATGGCATATTTTATCCTGCATGAGTTGCACAAGTTGTGTGCAGTCAGGGATATGAGTGGCATCTCATTAACCAGCAGCAATTTACAGCATTGCACTTTTTTAAAAAAACAATCCTTTTTATTTTATTTCACTGTTTCATTTAACGGCATAATACTAACTAACTATTAGGGCTCTGGCTGCTGATTATTTTCAGTCTTTTTGTTATTTTTTTCTTATTAATTTCAGTCTCTTTCTATTATGCTCAATACTGACCTGACAATGAAGACATGCTGCTCTGCCACCTTTTAGGTTGAAGGGCAAATGAGGTGGTGGTGTAACTTGATAAAATGAATACATGTATGGCTTGATCTGGAGTTCTTGGGTTATTGTTGTTTTTTATAGATGGAGGTTAACGATATAAAGAAAGCTCTTCAATCAAAGTGAATTTTGGATCGATGGAATGTTGTCTTGTTCATTGTGACAGAGACTTTATGCCCCAAACAAAATAACTTTGTGCCAAATGGTTAAAGGTCTGCCTACATCCTTTTGTTTGAACAACTAGCACAAGCATTTTAATAGCACAACACCAATTCCAGCAGAGAGACAAAATTTTCAAGTGACACACCTGCTCAGTGATGACACTGGTTGTGACTGATATTATTCTTACTGTGCTAAAATCTTCTCTACTTCGAGTTCACAGTGAAAACTCAGGCAGTTTAGTTCATAGTGGTACTATTTTAACAATATTTTCCATAAGTAAAATGTACTCTTCAGGTTTTATCAGTTTACAGCTTTTATGATTTGACTTTTTAAACTATCTTTTGTCACACAGATTCTTAAAATGTTTGTACTGCATATAGCCAGAAATGAATGTTGATATTTGGGTGAGGGGTTCATTGGTTGGTTCTCTCCCCCTTCTGTCTCTCCCTCCCTCCCTCCCTCTCTTGCTTCACATAGAGCAGCTTAATTTGTGTTATTTTAAATACTATTACATATGCAATCTTATGTCCAAAAACTATCTGCAAGTTTCTGTACAAATAGTGTATTTAAAAAGAAAAAAAGAAGAGAAATCTGGTCTTTGTAATGATTTGTGCCTTCTTTTGCCAAACATTGATTGGAGCTGGTTGTAGGCCAGATGTTAAGAAATGTAGCTATCACAATGAGGCCTAGAAATCCACTAGAGGTCACTCTTTCAGCATATTAGCTGCTTGCTGACTAGAGATGTGATTGTGTGTACATGTGCGTGTGTGTATGTATGTGTGTGCGTGTGGTCTGGGTCTGGGTGGAAGATGGTATCATCACCACATCACGTTGGGGCTGCTTTATTTCAACAGCTGTAGCTTTTAAAAAGTTACTAAACTGAGAATTCCCTTCTGCTTGATTTCATTCAAACTTTTAAACACCTGCTTACATCTCCAGTTTTGCACATCATGGGTGAACAAATTATATATTATCTAAGAGAAAACATGAATAAAATATAAATCAACAAGAGAGAGAGAGAGTTGTATTATTTCATGGCACAGATAATTGTGCAGTGTTAATCTCATGTTCGGTACCAATTGCCACATTTACTGTAATGTGAATTTGCAAATGTGGGGAAATGAACTATATTGTATAATGACACCCTAGCGGCTCATCTTTTTCCCCCTGAGATCATGTAAATGCAATGTTTATTTAATCTATTCATAGACTGTGAGAGTTTCAGATTTTGAAAATGATGGAGTGAGTGAGTATCTGAGTGTTTGCATTTATCTGTGCAATCCTGAGAACAGGTTATGGCAAATGTGATTGTGTGTACATGTGCGTGTGTGTATGTATGTGTGTGCGTGTGGTCTGGGTCTGGGTGGAAGATGGTATCATCACCACATCACGTTGGGGCTGCTTTATTTCAACAGCTGTAGCTCGCACGTGCTTGTGGTCTGGGTCTGGATGAAAGATGATATCATCACCACAGCAAGGTGGGGCTGCTTTATTTCAACAGCTGTAGCTTTTAAAAAGTTACTAAACTGAGAATTCCCTTCTGCTTGATTTCATTCAAACTTTTAAACACCTGCTTACATCTCCAGTTTTGCACATTATGGGTGAACAAATTATATATTATCTAAGAGTAAACATGAATAAAATATAAATCAACAAGAGAGAGAGAGTTGTATTATTTCATGGCACAGATAATTGTGCAGTGTTAATCTCATGTTCGGTACCAATTGCCACATTTACTGTAATGTGAATTTGCAAATGTGGGGAAATGAACTATATTGTATAATGACACCCTAGCGGCTCATCTTTTTCCCCCTGAGATCATGTAAATGCAATGTTTATTTAATCTATTCATAGACTGTGAGAGTTTCAGATTTTGAAAATGATGGAGTGAGTGAGTATCTGAGTGTTTGCATTTATCTGTGCAATCCTGAGAACAGGTTATGGCAAAAACTGTAGTTGGGTTTCCTATTTTCATTGCAGATTATATTAATGGTGCAATCCTATGCATATCTACTGAGCAGTAAGTCCTGTTAAGGTCAGTGAAATTTACTTCCAGCTAAGTGTGAATAGGATTTCAGGCTGAGCATGCAATCCTAAATACATTTAGTAGAGAGTAAGTACCACTGAAAAGCATGCAACTAAAAGACTGCACTGTGTGTCTGCTTGAACACTTGAGTTATATGTGCTGCTGAAACATCCTCTTTTGCTGTGTTTTGGCACTGCTCTGAGTTATGATGTTTACGTGAGTATCATACCATGAATCTGTTTTGTTATATTAGGTATGAGAAATCAGCATTTTCTGATAGGGGACACATAGCATCATTAAAAAATTCCTATAATGTTGAAATATTTATGTACTTGAATGGAACGACAAGATTTCAAAGGCAGTAATGCATCAGAGCACTTAAGTTAATCATGTGTATTTCTTAACATGAGCAAAAGCTCTCATTATAAACATTTGTCACTGTAATGCTGCTAGGGTCTTAAAATAGCATTAATTTTTCTGTGTTAAAATAACAAAACCCATCTTTACACAGTGCTTTAAGCATGAAGGTACATTGTTGACTCCCTGATCTTCACAACATCCATGTGTTTGATAGATAGTATTATTCTTTTGTCATTTTACAGAAGGAAGTCTATTGCCCAGTCCTAGGATGTACACAAATGCTTAGGATTTTGCGCTGCAATAAACAATGTTTATGTAGCAAGAGATTATTATCTGGCACGGCCGCAATATTGCAACATGTATGCCAACTCATATTATTAGGAATGGGCAGATGGTCAGCGGAACCTTTGGATGCACACTTGAAATGCCAAAATCCTGTGAGCTTCAGCATAAGGAGATGGCTACTCTTCAGCAGCATGGCATTTTGAATGTTCTCCTGGGAAATCGGCGAATTCAACATGTCTGTATATTATATGTTGGGATCCCCAGGTTGCACCTGAATAAAGAGGGAATCTGTGTGGCAGTAAATCAATATGCAAATCTGCCATGTTAATTTAACTATTCCATGCCACTCACAAGAGTGCTGGTTCATGTAATTACTGTATTACAGTATGGGAGCTGTTTCCACATGGATGCATCACACACTGCTCAGATCACGGCTGATAGGTGAAATGATCATTTTTTCCATGCCACTATCACTTTTCCATGTGGCTTTGTGGTTTGGCACAGGAAGTGATATCGTTTGCCATACCTCATGTATACAGAACCTAAAAGATGGGACCTAATGGTCTAGATATAACTCCCATGTCCCAACAGTATTTGGACTTGAATCTATGAAAAAGATTAGCTCTAAACCAGTGTTTCTTGCTGCCCCTCAGTAATTCTCTTGTAGTGTTTTTTGTTTGTTTGATTGTTTTTGGCTTTTTAGCTATAACGATGTATAGCTACTAACTTAAAAATTAAGAGAATTCAACAGGTTGACAGGTAATGCTTCTAAAATGTATATGAGACCTAGAGTTACAGGATAGCATTACGGGTTTCTGAATTCACTCACTTGAGGAACTGACTGTAAATATTTACAATGTGGATTTGAAAAAAAGGCCTTGAAATATGAGACATTCTAAATTGTTATTTTGAAAGGAAAACAAAGTCTATTTTGAGTTCAGCATTTTGACTGACATGTAATCAGGGTCTCTAATTTCTTTTTCTCCTTCTGTTATGGTGGTAAATTGTCATTTTATAATACTGTATTGAGGAGTCTAACGTATTGTGATTTGTAAAATAAGATTAAATGAGATTTTGTGGAAATGTTTTGTTTATTGTTCATGGTAATATAAATTATACTTTATGGTGCATTATGTTTACAAATAGAGACCATTTTACAAAGGAATTACATTCCAATGCTTTAAACAAACACCTACATTAGTATAACATAATTTTGTCATATTTACTTTTTTGGTCTAGGCAGATAGACAAGGATACACTGGGAATTAATCTTGAGCTATGTTAAATCAACTTTCTCTTTTAGGTGTATTAAATTGCCTTTAGCCAGTTATGATGAACTAGCAGTATCGTGCTAGCTTTACTGCTTTATTAAATACCTTCTATTACTTGCTTTTTATTTCTTACTGCTGCATTATCAAATATGTCTTTGATTGTAAATAGCTATTTTGACTTTATAAATCATACTTTTAAACTTCAGTTCTAAATTTTTTATGTTTCCTTATATAATTCATGGAATTCAGTCTCTAAAGTTAACAATCGTGTTCCATTGATCTGTGCCCATAATGACTTATTGTGCAAATTGATTGACATCTTCTAGTCTTGTTCAAGAGAGCATCTCCTTAGACCAGTGTAAATCCTGTAAATGTTGCATGGGTGTAAGCCAGAGATTTCACAGAATGATGTGGGCAGAATATAATGTTCTACCTGTGGAGGAGGAGGACTCTGACCAAGGGGTAAAAATGATACCTTAAAGATTAACAGCTTTATTATAGCATAAGCTACCATGGGACTGGGCCACATCCTGCTTCTGATAGAGCAGACAGTGTCCATAAAAGCTTATTCCGTAATTACCCTGTTAGTCTTTAAGGTGTCACAAGACATTTTGCTTTTCATGCAATAGACTAATATGGTTCATTCTTTGAAAACTCTACAGCTTAAGTCTTTCCCAGAGTAGTGCCCTTCAGGTTTTTTGGATTAGAAGTCCCATCCAACTTAGATTGACTACTGGTCATGGATGATGGGAATATTAGTTCAAAACATCTGGAAAGTACCACTATAGGAAAATATGACCTACATGCTTCATTTTGTTAAAAAAATCATCTTAAATTAATTGAACTCAGAGTATTGTAACAATCTAAATATTAATTTATAGATAAGAAAGGTAGTTGTGGTTTGTGTGCATGCAAGAATAGAAGCATATTGGCTTTAGTCCCTCCAAACGAGAAAGCTATGGAAAGAGGCCAAAACGTTGCTTATTTTCTTCTCTGCAGCAATACCAACATGCTCACATCCTTTCCACCTTCCTTTGCATTTCACCAGTGTCTTACAGTTGTCCACCCCGACAAACAACACCATTGGAAAGAGGATGCTATCATGCGCTACCAGGCAGTAAGGAGCTTTCTGGCTTCCCAAATCTAACCAAACTCCTTTTGATTTTTTGCTTTCTCCCTAATGGCAGAAAACCTGGAATATTTAAATTAAAATTGAAACAACTGCTTCTATAATTACAAAGCTGTATCATTCTGATGGCCAAACTATGCATTAGGATAACCCATGGCTTAAATCACATGACTGAGGCAGCTTTTCATATCTGGGAAATTAGGCTCGCAAGGGAAGATCACACATATATCTTCAGACCATTACAAAATTGTAAATTTAGGAGTTTCTGCTGTGAGAATCATACAATGAGTACTTACATATTTTCTTCTTCTAGTGATGCATTATCTTATGATGGATTTTTTTTTTATGAATAACAGTATCTGAGAATTCTTAGAGGCCATAGCCCTATGCTTATAAATGGAAATTAGAGAATCATATTAGGGCAGAAAATAGAAAACACTGAGATATTCTCCTCCAATAAGATATCTATTTATTGTCTTAAATTTCTCTTAAAATTTAAAATTGGATTAAGACCTGACGAACATATTTTCCCTTCCAAACTTAACCAGATCTTGGAGAAGTAATTTTTGTTTTGACTAAAACATTCAAAATCCCTCAGTTCAGACTGGGAAATTGAGAGGGGGGCAGGGGAGAAGGAAGATTTTTCCAACATTTGGCCCTAATGAGGAATAGCAAAGATACTATTAAGGAGTTTTTAAAACTGTGTGACCTTGTAGCTGGAAAATAAGTGAATGTGCATATCTGCATGGATTTTGATGTTTATATGCATTACTGCTTTCTCTTCCTACAGGTAATTTCTTTACTTCTTAATCCATTTTCCCAGGGCAGATCAGATAAAATGTTAAGTGTAAACACGGTTGTCAGGTTACTCAGCTACTAGTAAGTAGAGGTCAGTTTTGCTGAGTTGCTCTGCAAAGGTGAAACAGCTCGGTAGTTTAGCCACGATAGTAATTAAAAGGTAAGATTCCAAAGCCATTGAAAAAGGGCCAACAATTCCTAAAGTGAAGAAATGGCAGCAGCCATCTCCTAGTACATGACAGTTGGGCTAACACAGTATGAGATAATTCATAGTTGTAGCAAAATACTGTTGAGTGGTCAAGTGCTTCTTTACTGTCTTAACTGCCTTGCAGAGGTTGTTGGTCGTGCTGCAAACCAGCCAAATGTGCAAGTCCCAGCTGCCAGCCATTTCTTTGACTATATGAACTGGGGTAGTAAGAGAAAGGAAATGAGTCACTGGCATTTGGAAAAACTGCAAATGTAAGTAATCAGCAGTTGCATAAGCTTTTGAGGAACTGGCAATCCTTTAGAAACAACCACATTCTAGCTGGGTATCTGCCTGCTATGCCTTGTTTTTATATTTGCTAATAAGAAAAAAATCTGTCACTCCACATAAGGAGACTGATACTGTACACAAGATAATCTTGCAAGTTCCTGTCACTCCAACGTATATACTGTAATGTGTGCATGAAGGCTATACAATAGCACAGGGCAACTTGTGGCCCTCCAGATTTTGTTTAACTGCAACTCCCATCATCTTTAAACACTGGCTGCATTGGTAGGGTTGTTAGGTCTGATACTTACATTTGTAGTGCATATGTTGTCCTCCATCCTCCATGACATAGAATTGAGCTTGAACCACAGAAGCTTAGCCTTGGGAGAGCATGTACTGCATGCCTTTTTCAAGCTTGTGAAAGAGTAGCTTAATATTTTCAAATAAAGTTCCTTCCCATGTTATTATTCACCAGATAATGGAAACTCAAGGGGCAGGGACTGACAGGAGAAATGGATGCTTTCATCTTCTAATTGCAAATTTGTTTGTAAGTTTTTCTTCCATATGCTCTGTTTTCCTTTTGGTCTTGAGAGGTGGTGTAACATATAAGTGGCATGAGACAGGTTAGAAATTCTAATGCCCATAGACTTAAAGACTTCCAGGGGAAATAAATCAGATGCCTATGCTAATCACTGTTGACATTTATCCCAGTAAAGGGCTGATCACAGAATGAAACAGTCAATAATATCCAAATTCATCTGAATATAAAACGATAAGCATTTTCATTGTTGTAATACTTCCAGGCAGCTTCAGCTTGTCTATTGCTACAAGTTTCATTTTATCTATATTACTTCTATGATCCATATACACAAAATTACCTCAAAGTTGTTGTAAAACCCAGATGTCTTCCAGCTATGAGGAAAGCTGAAGGCACATATATTTAAACATACATCCTTTCAACTTGAAAAGGTTACAGGTGTTAAACCTCAAGTTATAAACAGAAGTTAAGATACCTGCATATAAAATACATGGACATTTAAATATAACTGCTTATGGCCTACAAAGGCAGAAAATACATCTCTAGAATAGATCAATGAAGAGTAAAAGCATTGTAACATTGAATCTATCTATTTATCTACCTACCTATCTATCAAAATATAACACAATATTTAGCATCTAAGCATTAGGCACATAGGGGAAAATTATTTTAAAAACCTTCTCACTCAGCCAAGCCAGTTAGAAGTCTGTGGAAGAAATTTAGTTGTTGATTTTCAGGTGCCACTGCTGTTCTGCCCCATGATAACAACAACATGTACAGCGTGTTGTTCCAGTGATTATGTCTTCCATAACTATGTCTTATTCTCCATACAGTATTTATAAATAATTATAATTTATATCTCCCCAATCTGTAAATAACCTATTTTGCAAAACTTGCCAGCTACAATGTTCTGTTCTATGGAATTATTTCCTCAGTCTGAATTCTCATTATTTTTGCACTCCTTTGTGGGTCTGCAAACTTATATCTGGCTAACTGCCAGCACTATGATAAGCAGAAATGTTGACACTAACATTCTGCAGGTCTTACACTCTTAAGGGTTTCAACTAACAAAACTCCAGGATTCTTATTCTTTGCTGGCGACCACGTTATGGTCGCCAGTAGAGTGTACTATTGAATTGACAAACCACATATATTTCATATTTTCAAGATGCACTTTAAAATGACACTTTTCCCCCTCTATGTATACAAACCATTCATTTACAACCTTGCTATTTACACTAATCTTATCTCTTGCATTTCAAAACATTCATTCAGCTGCCAAGAAATGTTTGTACATTGACCTTGCTCTGCTGAATTGGCTCATCGCCTTGCAGTGACTTATGAGACAAGTTCTTCAAGCTGCAAATCTTAAAATTATGTTCACTTTAGGGCAAATATTTCTCTTCCCCCTCATTTTCTATTACTCTTAAACATACAAGGTTTCAAATCCTGACAAAAATGCTGGGTACATAATGTAAGAAGTGTGCTGTCAAGTTGCTGATTCCTCCCTTTATTGCTTTACCTCTAATTTGTAATGATAAATGCATGTGTAAGTAATTTTCTATGAAACATGCATTAAAATAGATAGTTAGGGACTCCACGTTTCTCTTATAGCATCTCATTCTAGCTTTTTGCATCTTATAGTAGAGGGCTGTTTCCTCTAGTATGGAACTGGGCATACTTTTTAAGTGTAAAAAAAATTGAAACAAACCACTCCTTCTGCACCACATTTAAAACTTACTTGTCACTAGTGGTGTGTTCCTTAATAACTTCCATTTACCTGGTCAAACAGAATTTCCATGCTACAATATTCAGTTATTTATTCTGAACCACTTTAAAAGAAGTAGCTTGTGTAAGTCTTAGGTTAAATATGTT